TACAAATATCCTGAGACTTGACCTTTTGAAGGGACAATCCTGGGTAGATTCAAAAGGAAGAAAATGGAAATCTTGGTCCCCAACTGCCTCTATAAGACTTTTACAGCAAGCGCCTGCACATCCTCCTTCTAAAATTGTTAATGTGAAACCTTACGCTTTACCATTGTGTTCCAGGGAGGAGATCGCTCTGGTAACAGCAGAGCTGCAGGAACAAGGGATAATCAATCATTCCAAGTCACTCACCCTATAATCCCCCAGTGTGGCCAGTCCATAAACCTAAGGGAAAGTGGCAACTGACAGTTGACTATTGGCAATTATATGTCCATACAGTCCTCTAACAGCTGCAGTACCTAAGACAGGTAAACTGATTGCAATAAAGAGGCAGACAGAGATGGCTTTGCCTTTATATGGGAAGGTGTGCAATTTATTTTTACATATCTCCCCCAGGGATACTGCCATCCACTGACCATTGTTCATTATGCACTAGTGCAGGAGCTTGCTCAAATCCCTCCTAGGGAAAGGGTCAAGATATATCAATATATTGATGATGTTCTGACTGGTGGCTCTGATCCTGCTGCAGTGGGACAGACCCAGTCAGGAAATCACCCTGCCCACCTCGAGAGCCTTCACCTCCCCCAACTGCACCAGAATACCCAGAAGTATGGTATACCCCAGAGACAGGGTATACTTTATTAATTCTCACTTTTGGACCTTGTATCTTAAACAAATTAATTAACCTTGTTAAGAACAGGATTAAACTGTCCAACTCATGATACTAAGGCAGCAATATACTGATTTACCATGAAGATGCCACCTTTTAAGGGGCTGCTAGGGAAGCTATTTTTAAGCTTAACCAGCAAATTGAGGTATAAAAAGAAAAAGGGGGGACTGTAATAAACTATTGTAACTAATTTGCTAAGTTAAGCAAGGCGGGTATGATAGGTTTGAATGATCTGTAAATGTTAAACCACACTATCCTGCTGTCTAAATATTGTAAAAATAGAATATGGTACCCTGTGTGGGTTTTGAAATGATTTGAAGTTACTATAACCTATATTACAATGAATGTTTGAATATATATGGATAAAATATAAAGTATGCTATTCGGTTGGAAAAATGTAACTACTTCTCGGAAACCTCATCACCTAAAGCTGATAGGCAAACCGCTTCTCGGAAACCCCATCACCTAGAGCTGATAGGTAAACCACTTCTTGGAAACCCCATCACCTAGAGCTAATATGTAGCCTCTTCTCGGACCCCCCGCCCCCCCACCTAGAGATAACCTGTAACTGCTACTTGAAGAAAAGCCTGCCAAAAAAATTGAATCATGAGGCTTTTAAAAGATCCAGTAGGAGAAAAGCGCACCAAGAGACCAAGGCTTCAAGACTTCCAAAAGACCCCACAGGAGGAGGACAAAGACCCAAGCATCTCAAAGGACCCAATGGAGAAAAAGCAGGACAGTTATCTGACGGGAGGAGATTGGTTAAAGACAATGACACAAGAGTATAAAAAATGCTGCTTTTTGGAACTCAGGGTGTGTGTGGCAGAGCTGCGGCTCTCCATGCACCCAGTGCTGCTTTGCCTATTGCTTCCCATCCTAAATTGATTGAACCCAAATAAAAATATATATATTTTTATAAAAATTGGCTTTGTCTGATTATAACGCCATTATCTCCTTCTGTTCCAGACACATGATTTTGTGACTTTTAAGAAAGTTTGGGAGGGGAGAGCTGATTTACAATTTTTGAGCACTTAAGAGTTTGCAGTGCTGCATTAGTCTTGTATTAGCTTAGATTTGTGTAAGAAATACCTCCAGAGTTCTTTCTGGTGATCCCCTTACCCTGTCCTTACTTCTTCCATAGAAGACAACAGGTCTGCTCTTGAGACTCCTTGATCCTCAGAACTGTGGTTTTCTCAGGCTATCTGTAACCTGTGCTATTTGTGGCCTCTTTGCTCACCAAATCCTTTTCCCTTCAGTGCAGCTTCTCTGAGGTATCTACAGCTGGACCGTTCATCTTAGCAACAGAGTGCCTGAACATAAATGCAAGCTTATGTTCTAAGCTTATACCACCCACTTTTGGACAAATCTTTCATGGTCCTAGAAATGTTTCTTCACAACCTCAGTGGTGTTTTATCCCGCTTCATTGTAACCCATCTTCTTACCTTCCATACTGACTCCATATTTTGAGCAACAGACTCTGAAGCTCACAGCAGGTTTTGACCCCCCTGCAACTGACCATCCATATATGAAAATATCAAGAGGGAGAGAGCCAGAAGTCCACGGCCTTCAGGCAGGAAGCTTGTCACCTTGTGTAGGCAAACTTCAGCCCCATTCTGTGTGACCAGACACATGACCCTATTTTGTGACCTGAAGTGTGGTGTTTCAAGTTACAATAGAAGAAAATATGACAGATTCAATTCCAGTCAGGTGTCTATTTTGTTGTCCTTGCTTCTTCTATGAAAGGTACACAATGCGGTGATGCCAGCCATCCCTTCCAAGCAAGAATGTCCTCTCCCTAGGCTATTCTAGAAGTCCATGTTCAATGGGATAGCTCCTGTTGTTACTGGTTTTATTATCAACTGAAATTAAATTGTGTTTGATTTTAATATAAGTATAGAATTAAGGGATATTTTAGTAAAAATAATTTTACATTTATTGTATTTTGAATCTAGCAACCGACCACTACTCTAAAATCCTCTGTACAGCCCTGTACCAAGGCTGAAGCGACTGGTCATAATTGTTTAGTAGGAATGGTTAGAACCTAGGTAACAAAACATGAGGTGATTTGTAAACTGATTTATAATACATACATAGGACTAGAAGAATGCAAGTAGGTGTCAAGGTCCATGATTGATGGGAACTGAGGGAAGTAACTGTAACAGCTTGCAGGTACCTGCCAAGAAAACTGTGTCCTTAAGCAAAAGGTAATTCCGGCAGGGGGAGATCACGACCACCGATGCAGGGACCACCTACTCACATTAAACCCCAGACCCATTTCTAGACATTTCTAACCTTTACTGCGCAGAATC